TGACCCGCAGGCTCCCCATCCTGCCAACCCTCTTTACCACTCTGGAGGTGAGCCTTCGAATGAAGCAGAACCTGCATTTCACTGAGGCAGCGTTGCACCTGCTCCTCACTCTGGCTCGCACCCAGCAGGTAGGCGGCAAGCACGAGGCAGAGAGGAGCCTCCTTGTTTGTGCTGAGTGGGTTCTGGCACTGTCTCTGTCTCCCAGAAGCTCTGGCCTACTCTGAGAGCTCCCCTCGCCCTGGGGGGTTGGCTGCAGGGACAGGTCCCATCTCATTCCATGTCATTCTCTCCCAGGGAGCCGCAGCAGTGGCTGGAGCCGGCATCACCCAGAGCATCTGTTTGCCCCTCCTGAGTGTGTACCAGCTCAGCACCAATGGCACGGTGCAGGTGAGTTCCAATGGCCTGGCAGCCACTGCCCAGACTGCACTTCCGGGGAAGAGCACACCTGCAGCCCCTTCACTGGCCCCAGAAGCTGCTCTCTCTAGTTGTTTAGGTACTTACTGTACTGATGGACCGGAATCCTCCCACCCACACTCACTGCCTGCAAGAGAAGCTCACACAGCTAGTTAGTGGCAGACCCGAGTCTAGAACCCAGGATTCTTGTATTTCTGCCTAGTGCTCTTTCTTTGTCACTGCTGGCCTCAGGCTCTCTCTGGTCCTGCTGGTCACCAGGCAGTGACCATGCTCATTCCAGAGGTTTCCTTTTCTAAGCAACCAGACTGCCTTAGCATCTATGCTGCATTGAGGCCCTGCTGTACCTGTCAGCCAGATTCCTTGGCACCATGTCCTGATTTTGTCTTTCATTTGTGCCTTAGACACCTAGCACCTCACGGAAATCCCTCGATGCCCCCTCTTGGCCAGGGGTCTATCGCCTGTCCATGTCTTTGATGGAACGGCTCCTCAAAACCCTGCGCTACAACTTCCTGACCGAAGCTCTGGACTTCGTGGGTGTTCACCAGGAGCGGACCTTACAAGTGAGAAGCTGCCAGGCAATGGGGTTTGGGAGTTACTGGGGTCTGGGCCATTCAGGGCTTGAGGCTTGGTAATTAAGGGGTATCATTTCCCCATTTAAAAAAAAAAAAAAGTATTGACTTTTATTAGAAAGAGGAAGGGAGAGGGATAGAGAGATAGAATCATCGATGAGAGAAATATCGATCGGCTGCCTCCCGTATGCCACACCACTGGGGATCGAGCCTGCAACCAGGGCATGTGCCCTAACCAGGAATGAACCATGACCTCCTGGTTCATAGGTCAGTACTCAACCACAGAGCCACACGGGCCAGGCCAGTTCTGTGCTCTAAGGACTGCTGGCTGATTGGCCAACTCATGTAGCTGCTCTGCCAAGTGAAACAGTTTGGGATCATCTCAGACAGAACCTGTTGTCGGAACACCAAACCACCTGTTGTACTGCCATTTCAGTTTGTGTGCCCAGAACCTGTCCTCCCCACAGGAGGGCAGGGCAGGTGTGTCAGGTCCCTGCCTCACCCCATCCTTCCTTTCTCTCCCCTCCCAGTGCCTCAACGCGGTGAGGACGGTGCAGAGTCTGGCGTGCCTGGAGGAGGCAGACCACACGGTGGGCTTCATTCTGCAGCTCTCCAGCTTCATGAAGGAGTGGCATTTCCACCTGCCTCAGCTCCTGCGAGATGTGCAGGTGGGGCTCAGGCACGGGTTCTTGGAGGGGCCTGGGGACAGGGCGTGATGGGCACTCTCTGGGACGCCTCCAGGGACTTTGGCTTAGGGAGCACCAGATCTGGTTTCATGTTGCTTTCTCTGGAGCTAAATGTTTCCCTCCCGGCATATGGCAGCCTTGTAGGTTAAAAGCCTGGGCGTTAGCGGTCAGACCCTTTAGAAATAGGTCTGAAGCTGGGACCAGCCAGAGAGCAGGGCAGGGAAAGAACAGACTCTGGAGTCTGACAGGCAGGCGTCTGTCTGTGCTGGTTGTGACCTTGGCCAAGTCCCTTCACCTCTCTCTCAGCCTTTTTCTGCTTCTGTAAAAGGGGGAAATGATCCCACCTTATGTACTGACTGAGGACTGATGCTGTCCCTGGGAAACCATCCCGGGGAGAGTGGGCCCAGAGTGCAGGTGCTCCATGAGTTGGGAGCACAGTGCTCTGTAGAGACCTGTGTGGTTGATCTAGTCAGTTGGCTGGGGCTGCTGCCAGGAGAAGCCCCTTAGCCTCCCATGTTTGCTGCAGGTCAACCTGGGTTACCTGTGCCAGGCCTGCACCTCCCTCCTGCACAGCCGGAAGATGCTGCAGCACTACCTGCAGGTACCCGCCCCCGCCCCCCATGGCTGCCTGGAGTGCCTCACCCCAGCTTCTGTGTTCCACCTCCACTTCTGTCTCCTCCAGAACAAAAATGGGGATGGTGTCCCCTCAGCTGTTGCACCCCGAGTTCAGCGGCCACCCACAGCTGCTCCTGCTGCCCCCTCCTCTTCCTCCAAGCAGCCCACTGCTGACACTGAGGCTTCGGAGCAGCGAGCCTTACATGTGGTCCAGTATGGCCTCCTCAAGATCCTCAGCAGGACTTTGGCGGCCCTGCGCCACTTCACCCCGGACGTCTGCCAGATCCTGTTGGATCAGGTACCAGCGCCATCTGTGCTGCGCCACCAGCCTCCCACAGTGATCTGAAGGCTTGGCTCTGCCCTGCTCTTGAGAGCTATCTGGGGTCCTAGCTGGGCCCTAGAATGCTCTGGTCTTGCCTTGCAGTCCCTGGACCTTGCTGAATACAACTTCCTGTTTGCCCTGAGCTTCACCACTCCCACCTTTGACTCTGAAGTGGCCCCCTCCTTTGGGACCCTTCTGGCCACAGTGAATGTGGCCCTAAACATGCTCGGAGAGGTGAGTTTGGTGCTGTCTGGCCCCTTCACCCAAATCTTCCTCCCAGTTTACCACTTCCTACCCTTGACCTTGGCACGTTTACCTAGCCTTCCCCTTCCAAGCTAGTTCCTCATCATGACAGGAGTATGATGGAGCCTAACTCTGTTGAGAATTATCGTGAGGTTTAACTGATGTAACCGGTAAGGCAGGACCTGCCAAAGAGGAAGCTCCCAGAGTTGAAGCTGTCACTGTCCCCTGGGTTTTTTTTAACCCTTGTTTCTCTTCCTCCAGCTGGATAAGAAAAAGGAGCCCCTCACTCAGGCTGTGGGGCTCAGCACACAGGCAGAAGGGACCAGAACACTGAAGTAAGAAAGCCCTTCTAGAATTTGGTCTGGGGTTGGGGCAGACATGGGCTGGCTATTCTCTTAGCTCAGTGGCCCACCTAGCACCTGCCAGCTTGGCCCTCTACACAGTGCCAACCCTGCCTTGTCCCAGGTCCCTCCTGATGTTTACCATGGAGAACTGCTTCTACCTGCTCATCTCCCAGGCAATGCGCTACCTTAGGGACCCAGCTGTGCACTCCCGGGACAAACAGCGGATGAAACAGGAGCTCAGCTCAGAGTTGGTAAGAAGGGATCGAGGGTCCTGACTGGAGGGGGCGGAGCTGGTGGGGAAAATCCAGCCCGCGGGTGGGGTTGCTGGGCCTCATCAGGCTCCTTTTTCTCTCACAGAGCACGCTGCTCTCCAGCCTCTCGCGCTACTTCCGCAGGGGAGCCCCCAGCTCCCCTGCTGCTGGCATCCTCCTCTCGCCTCAGGGCAAGTCCACCTCTCTCTCCAAGGCCAGCCCTGAGAGTCAGGAGCCTCTGATCCAGCTAGTACAGGCCTTTGTCCGGCACGTGCAAAGATAGGGCAGTGGCATGCCACCCACCTGCCATTCTCCGCCAGCCTGCACAGCAGCTGACGGGGCCGTCTGGGACTGAGCTGCTCCTGTCACCCTCTCCCCAGAGTAGCCACAACTCCAACCACCCGCACACTGGCATTATTTTTATAATAGATCGAAAGGTCAGCAGCAGGGGTAGGAGCCACAAGTCTGCTGTGCTCCCCCCTCACCTCCCAAGTGCCCCAGAGGGGTATTCCTTTCCTTCAAGCATTCCCCAGAGCACTTGACCCCGGCCAGGGGAGATGGGAGCCAGTGTCATGTGTAGCCAGGAAAGGCTGTATGCACGGGTTTTAAAATGTTTTCCACATTCTGTTGTTGCAGTTTTTGGTAATACTGTGGTCTATTTATACAAATATTAAAATACTGTTTATAGACACTGTGTAATGTGTGCCTTCAAAGCCCAGGAATGGCTAGGCAGCTCTCAGTGCCTGGAACAGGGGCCCAGGAGTGGAGGGGAGGCTTAGGGAGGGCAAGTTGATTAGTGGTTGACTCACTAACATCCCTCCATTACATTAATGTTCAAGGGGGAGGGGTGCAGTGTGGACACTTAGGTTTTCCCTTCCTTGCCTGCCTGGTCTTGTCCCCGCACCCCTGCCACACACACTTCCAGTTACCAGCTGGCTGAGCTTATCACTGGGTGTAGCCTTTCTTGAAGCTCTGCTCCTTCCTATTTATAGCTGGGCCTCTGCCTTCGTCTCCCTAGGCCTCCTCGGGGTTTAATCATGGGCTGGCTTGGCTAAGGGCCTTGATCTAAAACCTGGCTTGTAGCCCAAACCCACCATTTGAGGTTTCTAGAATCAGACTTTCCTGGGCGAGTCCCTGTGTGACTACTTGCCAGTTGTGGAACCTTGAGGAGGTGACTCTCTGATCTGCCCTCATCTGTGAGGACCAATACATGTGAACATGCTTGGCTCCGTGCCTGGCCCCAGGAAACACGGCTATCCATTACTGGAGCTTAAACCATCCACGTCTACAGTCCATTCCACTCTGCCCCAATTTAGGAAATTCTTCTTGGGAATAAAATGTCTGTCATGCAGCTTCGTATCTGAGAGCACAGGCCCTGTGGGGGAAGTGAGTGCTGTGAATGGGGCTTTGAAGAACTTTCCCTCTGCCCTAGTACTTCTGGGAGGAGGGCCAATGGCATTTTGTACATCACTCCCCACCCAGGAGGGGGAATGGGGCAAATGTGAAGTTTTCCCTTTCCCACTCTGAACTCCAGGACCCCGGACAGGAGCCCAGTCAACATGCACACGAAGAACGGTTTATTATTCGCTGCTGGCTAGGGAGCAAAGCAGACAGGCAGAGTAAAAAGATCAGTTAAAAAGTGTGGGGAGGTGCAGGCTGCAGCCACCATACTTGGCTTGAGCTCTAGGGTACGAAGGGGAGGGTAGCACCGGGCAGTGCTGCTCCATGGCCCAGCCCTGCCTCTCCGGCCAGGCTCCCCTCTGCTCCAGTCACCCAGAGGGGACCACGCCCAGTCCTGGGGCCTGCCACAGACCCGCCTGCCCTTCCTCCCTCCCTCGCTGCTTTTGGCAACTAAAAGGTGCTCTCTTGCCAAAGGTGAACCCCAGGGCTTCTTCAAGTCCTCTGCGCTGACCCCCCACAGGCTGAGGAGCTGAGTGAGGCGGCTGCAGCCAGCCCCCCCCTCCTTAGAGGAGCCAGGAGGCTGGGGTGCTCAGGGGACACAGGCAGGTGGGGGCTCCAGAAGCAGGGCTGGGGGAGGGGCCGGGAACATTCAGCCTCTGGGGCCCCTCACAGCTGATGACCAGGAGTAGCGACAGGAAGGGATTAGTCTAATCCCCACCCTGAGCAGCCCGGTCACCAACAGACAAGACAAATGGCAGGGCTGCACCATCCTCCTGCCCAGGCCAGACAAGCAGGGGCCTGGGAGGGTCCTGCTTAGCTGAGCAGCTCCAGGTAGGTGACGGGGACCTTGCCCTTCTTGTTGCCTCTCTCGCCAATGAGCCAGTCAGGGTCCATGCCAGGCAGGCTGTAGACAGTGATGAGCTGAAGAGGGCGGCAGAGAGAGAAGGTCACGGCCTGGGTGGCTAGGACCAAACTGGCTCAGGACTAAATGGGGACAGCGCTGTGATACCCGCCCCTCTCCCCTTATTCATGGCACCTGCACCTCCAGAGGTGTTCACCTCACCTGCTCCACAGACTGGCAGAGCAGCCACTGCTTCCTCAGAGCTGGAGTTGCCCAGAGGAACCCCCTGGTCTTAGCTCCGCCCCCAGAGCCCCTCAGAGAGGAAGACAGTGGTGGAGGGTCTGCAGGCCCAGTGCTCCCAGTTCCAGTTCCCAGGTGCGCCTACGCCAGCCCTTTCTCACCATCTTTGTGGCACCCAGACCCACCTCATCAGCCAGCAAGGCCAGCTCGCTGCTGTCAGCTGCCTCGTAGTCGTAGAGAACACGGGCCTTGCGGGTTCCGCTGGCGGGTGGAGCCACCTCCTCCAGGCAGAGCGCAGCCTCCCCCGGAGGGGCTGGGCCGGCCACGGAGGGCTCCATAGGCATGGTGGCCGCAGTGGTGGTGGGCGAGGTGCTGCTGAGGGGCGGGGAGGCGGGCTCTGTGGTGCCCACAAAGGTGCCTGGAAATCTGGAGGGGGGGGGGGCACATCTCAGTAGGCGAGAGCCATATCCAGTCCCACGTGCCCCCAGGACACTAGCTGGGCCCTCTGCAGAGGTGAGGAGACCCTGGCTACTTACATGGCTCCCTGGGAGCTGGCAGCATGAGGGGAAAAGTGAAGCAAGGAAAAGTGAGATGCTCCGGGCCGTCCCTGCCACCGCCCACCTGCCAGCTGCCACCCACACTCAGGAACCCGCTCCGAGTCCCAACACCAGCGCCCTCACGTCATGGGAGAGGGAGCATGATGGCCCACCAGAGGGCTCGGGCAGGGCCTCAGGCAGCAGCCCTCCACCCGCCCTGTGTCCCGTGGGGTTTCCTGAGCTGAGAAGGTTCTCGCCCAGCAAGGTCAGGCTGCTCATTGGGCCTGGGAGCCAGGGGACCCGGGCAGGCACCTGCCCAGCTGTTTCTGTAAGTCCAGCATGTGGCGGTAGCACTGCGCATAGTAAGTTGTCTGAGACTCGACGAACTCCTGGAGGCAGCGAAGGTGGTTCACCTGTCGGGGAGAGGCCAGTGGTGACGGACGGGAGGGGTCTCGGGATGAAGCATTCATTCCACTCCCACCCGTCTTCCCACAGACCCTGGCCCAGCATCCCAGTGGCTTCCGCCCCAACCTCTCCTGCGGGCGGAGAGTTCCCACCCTTTGGGACCAGCTCTCTGAAGACGAAACTGCCCCCTTAAGGACCACACGCCCAAGCACTACCCTCCCCACCTACTTCCGAGACGTTTAGTGGGGACTTGCGGGTGACAAGACAGTGGATGATGGAGGAAGTGGGAACACTCACGTGGGTGCTACTGATTCCCTCCAGCAGGAGGCGGGTTACCTCTGCCTGCCGGTCAAACTCTGTCTGGGCCACTCGGAGCTCCTGCTCAGACTGGGAATAGTGGGATGAGAATGTGAGAGGAACAGTCGTCCCCAGCTGCCCTCCCATCACCTTCTCCCGCGCCAGTGTCCACCCAGGAGTGGCCTTCTCCTCCCCTCCCCCGCAGACGTCACTCCCCCCTGGCGATGCAGACACACATCTGAGCCCTGCCCCGGGAGGAGCGTTAGCCCTGTCTAGACCCCGGGGTCCAGTTCCCTGAGAGCAGTCACAGACATCGCCACCCACCAGGGGAAAACCCCACTCAACAGCCACCAGGGGGCCCACAGAGGAGGTGGTCTCCCCACAGGGGAGGTGACAACCCCCACAGCAGCCCCAGCGGGCACGTGGGGCCGACCCAGAACTAGAACAGACCTGGGCCCTGCAGCAGCAGCTGTGCCTGGACTCCCGCCCTCTACCCGCTTAAGCCCCTTCCCCCAGCCCCTGCAGCCCCACTCACCTTGTCCACCTCATCATTCCAGAGCTGCGGAGACCACAACAGGGCCGGCCAGCAGGGGAGGGAGGGGCACCGGTCAGCAGGGGACAGCAGGCAGGGGAGGACAGCTGAACCCCAGAGCCAGTGCCCTGCCCCAGCTCCTTGAGACCCCAACGTCGCCCCACCCATTCACTCCCCAACTCCTCCCCCAACCCAACCCGGAGCTGAGGCTGGGCTGAGGCCTGGTGAGGGGAGCATGTCACTCACAGTCCAGTCCAACATGCCACATGCAGGGAGGGGACAGCCAGCTGGAAAGTCCTGCTTGGGTTTCTCCTACCGTGTGAGCCCCCAGGCACTGACTGGGGTCTCAAGGGAGACCGAGGGTCCCCACCCCACCCTGACACTGGGCTAAGGCTGCTGGGGCCCTGGGTCAGTCACGGAACCTTTCTGTCCTTCAGCAGAGGAAGGCAGCCTCGGCCCGAGGCACACGGGTTCGGCAGCAAAGGAAAAAACGGCAGCCCCCACCCTCCAGGGCAGTTCTCCTTCCTCTGGGCCCAGGAAGGGGCAGGGAGTGCGGTCCAGAGCCTAGAGAAGGCCCCTCCTCCCACCACGACTGGGGAGCCCACTTCTCCCCCCCCCACCCCCACTGCAGGAAGGCTACCCTGAGACCAGGACCCGAGACACGGAAAGTAAAACAGGGCCGGCCCGGGGCAGAGCTGTCCCCCCAGTGCTCGTTAGGGAGCCGCCTCCACGTGTGCAGACGTGGGCGCCCACCAGCAGGGCCCTGCGGACTAAACTGCGGTTGACGCCCCGAGGGACGACGGCCCAGCCACTGAAGGACTGCACGAGGACACACGGAAACATGCTGGGACAGGGGAGGAAGAGCAGAGGTCTGCGGGAGGACGTCACCCGTGGGGGAGATGGAAGGACAGAGAAGAGGCAGAAGGCACAGCATGGTTGTGACAGGCAGGATGGGATACGTGTGACTGGCCTATTTCCCAGACTAAACAGTAAATGCCAAATATCCCAATAACGCTGGAGAGAAAAAACACGGAGACAGTCAAAGTCTTCTGACCCCGCCCCGCCCACCCCACCCACGCCCAGCTTCAGTCCTCAGGACACACCCTGTTCCCAAACCTCTGGGCTGCTCCTTCCACTCGCCCTGCTGGTTCTCAAGGCCTCACCCCAGGACACCTAGCAGCTGTGCTGTCAAGGCAGCTGGGCGGCCAGCGCCATCCTTGTCACCTGTCTTTGGGGTCTGGGAATTCATGGCAGGCCAGATCCAGGCCTCGTCTCTCCTCGGCCTCGGGACCGAGTAGGGCCAGGGATGGTGAGTGGGGTGGGGGCAGTGCCTGCTTTGGGAGGGTCAGGGTTGTGTTTGGGAGAGGCAGACTTTCAGATCCACTGGGGACGGGACAGCTGGTGTCCTAAGTTCACCACCCTGTTCAGTGCAGCTGGTCCGGTCTCCACCTTCAGCATTTCCCAGGTAGAAGCGAGGCCAGCCACATGGTCACGGGGCACAGGGACAGCCAGGTGGACAGAGCTTCAGGGATTGGTCCAACCGGTGCCCCGCCTTACCCTCTGTCTCCTGTCTACTGTGCAGAGACCCCGAGGTGTGGGAGGGACCGGGGAGGACAGGGGTGGGGTGGGGTGGGAGCGCTTACCGCGGAGGCGCTGGCGGAGAGAATGTAATTACGAGGTCTAGTCTCCTGAAAGTCAGGCACCGTCTAGTGGGAACAGAGTTCATGGGGGAGGGGGTCACAGTGGGAAGGGGCTGGGCTGGGGCCAGGAGGCCACCCCGGAGTGTCCCACAGAGCAGCACCAGGAGCCCCCGGCCCCAGGGACGGGAGGCTACAGACAAATACAACACTGACCCTCCTCCCACACCCACCGCCTGGAGAGGAGGCAGGCGTGGAGAGCCAGAGAGTGAAGACAAAGACCAAGTGGGTGGACACGCTGGGGAGGCCAGGAAGGCAGATGTGACAAGGAGACAGCCTGTGGCTGTTGTCACAGCCTTTGCCTCTGGGCAAGCCAGACTTTTCAGCCCCTGGCCCAGGGTCAAGGCCCTCTGCTCCCTGGACCGCCAGTCTCCCAAACACACCCCGCCCCACCGCTTTCTCCATCCCAGAATCTCTGCACACATCTCTCGCTCCTGCAGCAAGGGCCAGGCCCCTCCCCCACAACCAAGGTGGACAGATGGATGCACGGATGGACAGAGTGACGGGCTTTCCACATTTGCAAAAAGCTGACTCCCAGGCGCCAATGCCTGGCGTTCCCCCCAAGACAGAGGCTCCTCATGGTAGAGGCTCCGATGGGGAGACCAGCTGCTTGCAAAAGGCCCAGAGGATGTGCCCTGGGCCGGCCATGGCACCATGGGCGCCAGGCCAGATGGACAAACCAGAAGCAGCACAGCACGTGGGACAGGTATACTCACATCTCCCTCACACTGAGCCAAGTTACCCAAAGCAGAACGGAAAGGAACAAAAACAAAAGAGTTAGTGAGTCCACAGCACAGGCGGGAGCAGGCCCCCCGGCCCCAGCGGGAGGGACGCGAGGCGGACGGGCAGATGGACACACGCAACCTGCCCTCTGGAAGTGACTTGGTTTGTGTGTGAGAGCGTTTAGAAGGGGGGGGAGGAGGGAGCTGCGGGGCGGGAGTCCTCTGGGAATCTGAACCTGGGCTGCCCAGGTCCTAGCTCTGGAGAGGGTAGCCGGGACTAACCCAGAGGCTTGAGGTTGTCCGGGCCAACCAACTGGAGAAGAGGTCGTCCCACTCCAGTGACTAAGCAAGGGCTCCCCTGGCCTGGCTGATGGAGGAAAAGCTTGTCTTGGCCAAGTTATTCTTGAGAGGTTGTCCATCCCTGAGTGGCAGGGAGACTGTCCTGTGCAGGTGACTCAGTAAGGTCATCCCAGTAGCCCTAGTCATCCTACCCAACCCGAACAAGACTCCAGTGGCTGAGCCCCTGCCTCCCATCTGGACCCCACACACCCACATGAGCTAAGACCCTGTCCATGGCTCTTGCCAGAGGCAGTGCAGGCCCAGCTCCACGGCCCCCGGTGGCCACACTGAGGGGAACGCAGGAGGGTTCAGGGCCAGAACTCTCACGAGCAGCTGTGGGGAGCCTGGGCTGGGTCCGGCCTTCACGGCTGAGAGCACGGGTTTCCCCGGCATGGCCTGGACCTGGGGATCCCCCCCCCAGGGTGAGGTGGCCTTTAGGCCCCTACACCCCCCACCCCCCAGCAGCCTGGCATCCCAAGAGTGTGCTCACCCTGGGGCCCCGTTCTCCCCAGCCTGGCCTAGCCCTGATCCAGCTGTCCCCGCTGCACGCCACTGGGCCACCCAGGCTGAGCAGGCCTGGGGGACAGAGAGAAGGGGAGCTCCTAGCCAGTCGCTTGGGGCTGCCTGAAAGGGCCCCTCGGACATGCTCCTGCGCACGCGGGCAGTCCAGCTCAGGGCTCTCCACACGTCGCAGGGGCCTGAGCAGGGGCGCCTGGCACCAGCGCCGGAGCAGTGGGTGTGAGGTTAGTGAGGGGGAGCCATGCCCTGGCAGAGCTGGGAACAGAGCTGAGCATCCGGGAAGGGCGGGCAAGGGCATGCGGGAAACTCCAACTGTGTCTGTCTGGGGAGGCGCAGGGTGCCCGGAGCCCAGGTTGGGGCATTGCTGGCCAGCCCACCCCGTAAATGTCGGCCCTGGGACCCCGAGCGCTGGGCTGTCAGGATTCCCCTGGGGGCAGGGGCATAGAGGTGTGACGTGAAGTGACCAGTCCAGACCAGCACCCCCAGCCAGGCCTCTCCAGGCAAGGACAGGGGAGAGAGGTCATGCCAAACCAGGTCCCTTCAGCACCCCTCCTCGGCTCCACCCAGAGCCGGGCGCGGGAGGCCAGCAGGGGCACCTACCGCGGCTTTGGCTTCCGCGGCCTTGGCCTTCTTCAGTCGTGCTTTGCAGACATCCAGGTCCAGACGCCGGTTTTGCAGGAGCCGCCTCTCCTTCTGCGGGTGGGAACGGGAACAGTGAGGCGCTGGGCCGCCCTGCGAGACCCTGGGCCATGGCAGGACTGGCCTAGGGGGCCATCTGGTCAAGACAAGGAAACTGAGGCCCAAAGAAGGAAAGTCAGCCACTCTGAGTAAGTCCACAGGAGCCTCGTCTGGGGAGGCCCCAGGGGGTCTGGGTTCCCAACACAGGAGGAGAGCCTTGCTCAGCGGCTCTGGGGAAAGGGCTGCCCTGGTGGCGAGGAGGCGCGTGGTCCCAGGCCCCTCACCGAGATCGTCTTCCAGTCCCCTTCCAGGAAGTTGCGCAGGGGCGTGAGGAAGTTGATGGAGGCTGCGTGGATAAAATCCCGCTCGGCGGCTCCCAGGCGCTTTTCAGCTTCTGACACCTTGATCAGGGTCTTCCCTGAGGACAGAGTCGAAGGTGAGAAGGAGGGTCAGGCTGAGGCTCTTCTGACCCAGGAAGTAGCAGGGAGCTCGGAAAGAGACTTGTTAAAGAGGCAACCACAGGATGCTAAGTTCAGAACGCCCGGCCTGGAAAAACGTGAGCGCGACCTACACATCCATCCATCCATCCATCGGGGACTGACAAATAAATAGTGGGATCATAAAAAAATGGGACGTTACACGGCCATTAAAGAGATGGGGGGGGCACTTCTGAAATGACAGAGAAAGGAGCGCAACAAATCCTCTCCCCAAAGAGCAGTAATAACACTGGACAGAATTGTCAAAAACAACCATTTCTGGACTCCAGGAATTGACAAAAGGCAAAGGACAAATTGAGAAGCATTTATTCTAGAACTACTACGCCTTCGCCTTCGTAAGGACAATGGGCCTGTGCCTTTGTGTCCTGGGGTGCGCCCCCCTCCTCCAGCTCTGTGTTGCTGCAGCTCTACCACGAGGGACAAGCCCTGAGGCCAGTGACTGTGCTGATGGAGCACAGAGAAACCCCGGAGGCTGGCAAAACAGGTTGGAGGGTTGTCCTATACATCGAAAGGCTGTGGGTTCAATTCCCGATCGGGACGGGGCATGTAGGGGAATTCCCGATCGGGATGGGGCATGTAGGGGAGGCAACCAATGGACCCCTCTCTACAATCAAAGGATTAAAGAAGGGAGTGGCAAATAGTCAGGAAAGGCCAACATCGTGGCTAACCTGAAGCTGGGCCAACATCGTGGCTAACCTGAAGCTGGAATCGTGTTTCAAACAAGCAACAGACCCGTCAGAAACTGAACAGGAGACCGTTTACCGGGATGACTGTACTGGGAGTAAAAGAAGATAATCAGGTTTTCAGGGAATACTGGACGCCGTTTCTAAATTGATGCTGACTCCTAGAGACCCCAAATGTCTGTCTGCCTGTCATTAAAATAGGAGCTTATGGTGAACAGTGGAGGTTTTGCTCAGACCTGTCTAACAGTGGCCCCAATGCGTGCCTGAATCAACCCCGAGGAGCAAAACCAGGAGATGTGAGAAACAAGATCGCCATGGTGGCTGGTACACTGCCAGCCACCTCCGTTGGTCTGGAAGCGATGCCTGCGTAGCACACTCGGGGGGCTGGAGAGAACCCCTGTCTAGCCATCCTGGGCTGAGCACCCACAAAGGGGACGCTGGGCAGACGTGTAAACTGCTTCGAATGTGTTCCCCCGCCGCTCGCAAATGCGTCAGCAAAGCCTTAATGGCGCACTGCTACGCACAAGCTCTGACCAGTCCCTGGCTGACCACGCACACATGCGGCCCTAGGAGCCACCCCTGGGAAGCCGGGCTTACAAAGAAAAAGAATGGTTTCTTTTAAAAAGGCAGAGACAGCAGTAGCTGCACCGTGCAGGGGACACAGACTCTAAACAATGAACTCAGGCAAGTCTCTCCACAAACAAACAGCAATCACAACCCCGGGGGAGCAGAACCCAGAGCTGCTACGTGTTATGTAAAATGTCCAGATTCAACAAAATATTATGAAACAGGTAAGTAGCAGGAAATAGGAAAAGAAGTAATCAATAGTCACTGTCGCCAAGGAGGCCCAGATGGTAGACTTAGCAGAGACTTCTAAGCAGCTATTACAAATCTGTTTAAAGAATGAAAAGCAAATACAACAAATGACTCATCAAATAAAGAATACCAATAAAGAGAAAAAAATTATAAAAAACCGTTACTAGACACAAAGAGCAGTGTTACAAAACTGAGTCAATTCCTCAGGAAAATATACAACATAAACATACAGACCCAACAACAGAGCTCCAACATACACGAAGCAAACACTGACAGTTAAGACAGAAGCAGAAAAGACAAAATCGGCAAGGATCCAGGAGACGTGAACACTATCAACCAATCTGTCCTCGCTGACATCTTCCCAACAACAACACAGTATACGATCTTCTCAAGGGAACAGGAAGTCTCCAGGAGAGACCATACTCTAGGCCAGCGGTTCTCAACCTTCCTCATGCCGCGACCCTTTAACACAGTTCCTCAGGTTGGGGTGACCCCCAATTTCATTGTTACAAATTGAACATAATTAAAGCATAGTGATTAATCACAAAAACAATATGTAATTATATATGTGTTTTCTGATGGTCTTAGGCGACCCCTGTGAAAGGGTCGTTCGACCCCCAGAGGGGTCGCGACCCACAGGTTGAGAACCGCTGTTCTAGGCCATAAACAAGTCTTAGTGAGTGTAAAAGCATTAAAATCATACAAAGTGCGTTCTCTGACCAACGTGCAATGAAATCAGGAATCAACAACAGAAGGACACTGCGAAAATCCACAAATGCCTAAAAGTCAACCACCACACTGCTGGTGGGAAGGTGAGATCACACAGCCACTCTGGAAAAGAGTTTGGTGATTTGCTGAAAAGTTAAAACATTAAATGCACCATACGACCCGGCAGTTTCACTTCTGGGTACATACCCAGAAGAAGTGAAATCATCGGTCCTCACGAAGGTCGGTATGAAAGTGTTTACAGGGAAACAACCCAAATGGCTACCAAACGGGGAAGGATAAAGAAAACGCGGTGTCGCATCCACGTAATGAAACGCTGGTCACAATAAAAAGGAACGAAATCCCAAACACACGATGAACAGGGATGAACCTCCAAGGCATGATGCTAAGTGAAGCCAGATACAAAACACAATATACTGCACGGTTCCATTTGTACGAAATGTTTAGAGCGGTGGTTCTCACCCTTCTGGCCCTTTAAATACAGTTCCTCATGTTGGGACCCAACCATAAAATTATTTTCGTTGCTACTTCATCACTGTCATGTTGCTACTGTTATGAATCGTCATGTAAATATCTGATATGCAGGATGGTCTTAGGCGACCTCTGTGAAAAGGTCGTTCGACCACCAAAGGGGTCGCGACCCACAGGTTGAGAACCGCTGGTTTAGACCAAACAGATTAACAGGGCACAAAGCACACGAGAGGTTGGCCGGGGTGGACAGTGGAGACTGACTCTAAGTGGACAGAAGGGATTTTTTTTGCAGATGATGGAAATGTTCTTTAAATTGAACTCAAAATTAACTCAGAATCACTGAATTGCATGCTTAAAACAGGTGCATTTCATGGTATATATAAATTATAACTCAATAAAACTTTTCACAAATTAGAAAAATAAAGACTGAGGCGGCTCTATAGGAGCTACTGTGCACAGCTATCTAGAGTGAATTGCCACGTTTAAAAACCAGGTTGAAGAACAGCCCTAGCTGGTTCAGCTCAGTGGATAGAGCATCAGCCTGCGGACTGAAGGGTCCCAGTTGGATTCCAGTCAAGGGCACACGCCCAGGTTGCGGGCTCGGTCCCCAGTGGGGGCGTGCAGGAGGCAGCCGATCAATGATTCTCTCTCATCACTGATGTTTCTCTCTCTCTCTCCCTCTCCCTTCCTTTCTGCAATCAATAAAAGTATATTTAAAAAATAAATAAATAAAATAAAAATCAGGTTGAAGAACGGACACGCAGTATGAGCACACAAACCAGACTGAGTAAGAGAGACCTCATTTTTCACTCCATTTTCCTCACGAGTGCTGGGCGGGGAGGGAGGAGAATTAGACGGGGAGAGGCCATGGCGCCCACCCGCCGAGGGGCCCGGCTCACCGTAGGGGGTGGTGGGCCCCAGCTCGCTGGCCGCCTCCGCCATGTACTGAGCCAGCAGCTCCCCGTTGGTGACCCGCGAGGGCACCTTCCTGTCCAGCTTCTCGTACAGGAACTCCTCCACTCGGGCACCTGCGGGGGACACACGCCGAGTCACAGGGCTCCTCGGTCCGCCCCGAGGATGAAAGCCATGGGGACAGAAACAGGCCCAGAGCAGGGCCTGCCACAGCAGCCCTGGGATTTCCAGAATATTCCCTGGCGGACGCCCACTCCTGTGAGGCTGGCCTTCGACCCTGTGGAACCCTTCACGCTGGAGAGGAGGAAGCCACCGCTCAGACGTGCAATGCCGGCCCCAGGTCCCAAGTCAGGGCCGCCATGGCTCCTCATCACAATAGCATTTACAGAACGCGGTAAGCGTGTGAGCAACCTGGGCCTGCACACAGCGGGCTTGCAGACAGACCAGCAATTCCACCCACACCCGTGCACCCTGAGCTCCCCTGAGCTTGCTGCTGCTGGTGCTGGTGCTGGTGCAGGTGCTGGTGCTGCGGGTGCCTGGGCAAGCCCTCTGCCTTCGCTGGGCCTCGCTGCCGGCTCTCAGACGACCCTGCTGCTGTTTCTCCTGCTTCTTCTCCCAAGTGTTCCAGTTCCCAGGCCGTCCCCGTCCTCGGTGCTAACCCAGCATCTCCTCTGCCCCCGGGAGCGCATCTGAGAGCCCAGCACCCACTCCGCTGTTGTCTTTCCCGGGACTCCCCCCAGCCGCCTTAAGCCCTAAATCAGATCTCTCCCACCAGCCAGGCCCACCTCCCGCCTCAGCCACAGCCTCCTGCCCTGGCCCCAGGGCCAGCCCGGTGCACTCACTGGGGTTGGGCTGCAGGAGCACCTCCGTCTGCCGCAGGATTTTCTCCGTCCAGTTCTTGGTGCTGTCCGCCCGGGCCAGGAGGTTCTCAAAGTTGGCATCGAGCTCGGTCTTCTCGGCCTGGCCGAATTTCTCCTCTGTGAACTGTGGGCGGAGGAGGGCCCAGGGACAGGGAGGGCTCAGAGGGAGGGAGGGAGGACTGCCCCCGCCCTTCCCCCCACTACCCCTCCCCACTAGCTGGAACCCAGGCCCCAAGGTCAAGAAACTTGCTCTGTCTCAACCTGCTCTGCAGCTCTGATCAAGTTAGGACCCTGCCCTGGGCCTCGGTCTGCCCCTCTGTGAAATGAGGCGGTTGGACCAGTTTGGGGATCATGGCCTCTTCTGGAAACCCAATGAACGCTACAGCACCCCACCCCCAAAAGCACATTTGTGCAAAGTCTGGCATACAGCTCTGAGGGGTAAGAAACCCTTGGGAACCCGTCACAAAGGGTCCCCCGGCCTGATTCTGCGGGAAGGAATGTGGTAGAAAGCGCTCAAAGCACGTTCTGGGGTTCTCAGGGGGCTCAGTGGGGGGCTGGGAGCACCTGGGGAGGGTCTGTCAGGGGAGTTGGTGGTTGCAGAACCACAGGGACCTGACTCCAGTCTCAGTCCCACTACTGATGTGCTGTGTGACCTTGGGCAAGTGGCTTTGCCTCTCTGAACACCGGTCTCCTGAGCTGAAAAAATGAGGGTAATAAACAGCACCCGCTCCATAGGCTGTGACACTATCACTGTACAGCCCCCCTCCCCCCCCTCCATAGG